TCTGCCGGCGGCGCAGTTTTCCAACATCTATCCTGATTATGTTTGGCCTCGAGAAGGTGATGAAGATGGACACAGCCATGCAGTGCCACAACCTGTCACCTGGCGTCAAGTTACGCCGCAGTTTCGGCAGTTCTGGCTGTATGGGCTGGAAGCTTTTCATGCGGTGCAATGGTACTTCCGACACCTCAAGTGGTACACAACTCCTGATGCCGACAATCCGTTAACAGTGGCCGATGTTACATGGGCTGAATTGGTGCTTGATTTCAGCTTGTCCACAGGTTGCAGGATGTGGAAAATGGACCAGAACCCTACCAATCTTGTCCAACAAGCAGAAGCATTCAAAAAAGCCGCGCAAAGCATGGCCAACGTCATCGCCAGGGTGACTTGCAGTTTTCCGAACTCTCTTTTCCCTGGTTCGGTTATACGAAAGGCCGTTATCCTGAGATCGATGGGTTTTGCGGCGGCGCTTGGGCTCTCTGTGCGGCCTCAACTCATGCAGCCGCTCACGGTTGGCCGCGTTTTGGCTGGATGGATTGCGAAGCAGAATCTTCCACTGGATAGGGCTAATAGGCCGATTGGCTCGTACAGTTGGGTGCCAGCTCTTACAGAGGGGCATCTTCTATGGCATCCTGATGAGCGTTACAAGGCCCCGGTACCAAGTCGAACACAAAATGGACAGCTCAGCCTTTGGCATCCTTGCATGGATGGTACCTGTGGCCCGGGCAAGAACGGAGTGCATCGTCAACAGCTGCAGTGCCGGGTCTGGCATCCTCCAGCTCCTGTCCCTGAAGCCGAACAAAAGCGAGTGCGCTTGAACAAGAAGCAACCACCGCCTTGTGTTGCCAATGCTGCGGGGTCTGTGCAGCCTCCAGTTCGGCAGCTGGTGGTTCCTCCGGCTGAGTCACTTGGTGAGGCTGCTTCCAGCGCCCAGCCCCGGGCTGGTGCCGAGGAGAGCAGCGACAAGAAAGTCCGCAAAGATGCTGCGAAGCCTGCGCAGCCTGCGCCCACTGTTTGCGAAGTTGTTGCAAGCATCCGTCGCTCCAGCTGGAAACTTGGTCAGAGCTATCCTGAAGCAGTGGTGCAGCAAATGAAGCTGATGACCAACCACGAACGCATCAGGGTGCACAAGACGATGGGTGTCACAGAGACATGCGATAGGCGTGCTGCAACGAATGCAACTGGACAAATGAAAGCAACCTTGCTCCGCAAATTGTATGATCAGTGTGCTTTGCTCAACAAGCGTGCTGGGAAACCGTTTCACCACTTGGTGCCAACAGACGATGGCACGAAAGTTCAATGCTCTAGATGTGGTCGGTGCACTCCTCGTGGTGCATTGTCTTTGTGGCGGAATGAGCTCTGTCACTCTGCAGCGGCTGCTTCCTCGAGTGCAAAGTAGGTTTGGGTCATCTCTGGCCCAGGTGGATTTCAGCTGTCAAGAGAGAGGAGCCTGTCTTTTTCTTGACATGGGCTTTTTGCAGGCATTCATTTGGCTATGTATGGCTTTTTCTCTTCTATGAAGGTCACCTATGTGACATCCTCATTTCGGGAGGAGGCTCCAGTTTGCAATATTGGAGTTTTCCTTGTCATACAGATCGCCTATGCGATTTCTTTCCATGCAGTTCACCTATGTGATGTTTTCATGAGAGGTCTTTGATGCACAGAGTTGCACAAGCAGACCGCGACGAATGTTTAGAAGTTGACGACACCTACGTATGGAGACTTGAACCACTTGGTCTCAGCTGCGATGAGCGGCGTGACTTGCTGCCTGCGATTCCCCGGCCAGCTGAACTGCGACCTGCGCAAGATCGCCGTGAACTTGGTGCCCTTCCCGCGCCTGCACTTCTTCATGACTGGCTTCGCTCCCCTCACCTCCCGCGGCTCCCAGCAGTACCGCGCCCTCACGGTGCCGGAGCTCACTCAGCAGATGCATCTTGGCTCGAGTCCCATGTTATTTTTGCAACTATTTTCTACAGAATATTTAGCGTTTAAGATGCATGCTACTGTTCTGCTCTCTGCTCCGTCAGCAGAACCGCCCAGGTTCGATGCAAAGAACATGATGTGCGCGGCGGACCCACGCCACGGGCGCTACCTGACGGCTGCCGCCCTCTTCCGCGGCCGCATGTCGACAAAGGAGGCCTCGGTTGCGCGTTGCACACACCAGTCGAAGAGCGAAGCAGGCTTGTGGCGCGCACGATGCTCGCATGATCTTTCATGAGTCTTGTGGCAGGTCGATGAGCAGATGCTGAACGTCCAGAACAAGAACTCGTCCTACTTCGTGGAGCTTTTCTGTCCAACGAGTGTTGAGTGAACAGATTGGAACTTTTGAGTTTAGGGAAAGGTGTCAGGGCCAAGTACTTATGCGACGACATTGCGCTCCTGAGTCCTGCATGCACTTGCGAGCACACGTGCGGTGGCAATCCGCGATCTGCAGGAGTGGATTCCCAACAACATCAAGGCATCTGTTTGCGACATCCCGCCCAAGGCCGGACAAGCAGAGGCTTAGTTCTTGGGCGTGCCGAAGTGTTCATGTGAAGGGGGGGGATGTAGAAGGGGACTTCTTTGGGGGGCCTTTTTTTTCAATGCTGGATCCCTGGCAAGGGCCTCAAGATGGCGGTGGCCTTCGCTGGAAACTCCACGGCCATCCAGGAGATGTTCAAGCGCGTGGCGGAGTACTTCACGGCCATGTTCCGCCGCAAAGCCTTCTTGCACTGGTACACTGGTGAAGGCAGGTCCCAAGAAACGGGGCACGGCGTTGATGAAAGAGTCCCATGTGAATCTGGCACAGTTTGCTAGCAAGTAGAGACCATGCAGCCATAGGGCCATAAGCATTCGGCGGCTTGCGGGCTACAGGCATGGACGAGATGGAGTTCACAGAAGCCGAGTCCAACATGAACGATCTGGTGTCTGAGTACCAGCAATACCAGGATGCCACTGCCGAAGAGGAAGGCGAGTTTGACGAAGAGGAAGGCGAGTACGACGGCTGAGACGGCTGAGCTGTGAGCACAGCTGATGATTGCCTGTCGAGCCCGAATTAGGCATCGAAGGCTTCCCAAATTTCTTCGGAAGCCATCGGTAGCCTGCAGGCCTGCCAGTAACTGTCCCTTCAAGCTTACTCGGAGCCCCTAGCCACCCTACAGCCTTTTGAGGTTCATACCCATAATCTCCCCATCGCCAGCCCTCTCGGGGGCTTCACGTGGTGTGCCATGTGTGCGCGTGGGCAGCGAGCAACCTGAAGTGACAAAAATATGTTGTAGGAGGAATGGTCACATTGCCCTGCGGGCAATGTCGTGCAGCGAGTTTGCCGCTTAAGCATGTTGTGGTTAGTGGATCCTTCCACGCCGCTGTAAGCTGTCGTTCCGTTGTGGTGCAGGCGTTTGCCGGTTCAGCCTTCCAAGCGCGCACCGACCCCCCACAGAACAGCATGCCGGCCTTGCTGAGCACTCGCGCCAGGAGCAGCCGCGCGCGCGGCTGCGCCCTCCTGGCTCTGGGCGCGTGCGCGCTTTGGAGCTTCCAGGGCCAGCAGGCGTTCAGCGGCGCGCCGGTCGTGGAGGAGTCGTCGGGCCTCACCAAGATCATCGCCGACCATGTCTCTGGCCCTGATGGCCGTGTGCGGGGCCTTTGCCTACACCGAGAAAGCGCTGCCGCAAGCAGCAGGTCCAGCAGAGAAGCGAGCGGACTACAACAGCTTCCTGATGATCCAGAACATTCTCTGCTTCGCGTCCGGGTACGTGAACGCCCTGGCCATCATCGACATGGGCATGACCGTCTCGCACCAGAGCGGCAACACCAGCCACACGGGACGTCTCATCCTGAACGGGGGGGCCAAGTTCTTTCACTTGATGCTGTCCTTTGGCGCCGGATCCTTCGTGGCTGGATACAGCAAGTGTGACCAGGAGGCAGTGTACCAGGGTCGCTACTCACCCAACTTGTTGGCCGCAGCCTTTGCCGTCGTGTTCGGCTGCATGGTTCACTACTGCAAGGCTGAGGCTGGCGTCGCGAACGATGCCGCCTCCGAGTGCTTGCTGCTGTGGGCCTTTGCGCAGGGCATCCAGAACGGCATCACGCGAAGATGCAGCTCCCTGCCGATCTGCACCACGCACTTCACCGGCTACCTCACCGACTTCGGCGTCGGCCTGGGTCTGTGGGCACGTGCGCAGGCGGACGGCGCCGAGCCGTCTACCCTGCTGAAGGTCCTCCTCTTCGGTGCCGGCATCTTCTTCTTCGGCCTTGGTGGCGTGGCGGCCATGGAGACCCATCCTATCTGGGGCGCGCAGGCAGCACTGATCCCCGCCGCCATCATGGCGGCCGTGGCCGGTGGCCTCATCCCCGTCATCAAGACGCCCGCGAAGACCGCCGCCTAAGACGCGCTTGAGTCAATGCAGCTTTGATCTGATCGCGCAGCAGGCTTGACTGATTGAGTAGTTGCGAGAGTCGCCACAGTGTCACATTTTTTCCTTTAGGCCGGCGCTAACATCCTGTGCCGATTTTGGAGGCACCGGCCATATTTCAATTCCCGTACCGTTATGTCAGCCGCACTTTGAAAGAAGGACGGCAGCGGCGGTTCCGGGGGGCTTTGTGAGGCCTTGTTGCCCCCCCCCTGGCCGCGTGTTTGTGTAGACAGCTCTGAAATTCACATGCAACTTATCCGACCTATCCTCTACGAGCTTGTTAGCTCGCTGGTCAGCGGCACAGGCCTGGCCAAAGACACGTCGCCAAAGCAGAGACCATCCATCGACAGCCAGAAAGCGTCTGTGGCTCGTTCTTTTGGCCAGACAGATCATGGTAGATGGCAGAAGTCGTTCAGAAGCGCCGGGTCCCAGAATCAACACTTCATTCATACGTTGTCCCGTTGGGAAGGGCCGGGGGAGTCGGGACAAGATTGGGCATGGGCCAGCATACCCTAAACACTAAACTGGCACACCCACCCAACTCCTATGGAATCCCAAGACAAAAGATGACAGAAGAGAGTGGCGCCAGGGCCTCATGACCTCTGGGGGCAGGTTTCTGATGCCCTGCCAGCCCCTTCGCCTCCTGCTGGCTGACCTCATGCCGTACTTTCCTCGGCAGGCTGAGGATGTTTTAGGGGTAAAAAGTCCGCAAAGTCTGCGAGAGCAATAGAGTGGTCATTCTATATGAAGGAGCATCTCGAGACGTGATCAATTTGGAGGCTTTTGCCTTGGCGCTGCCAAGCATCGGGTTTGCAGGTTTTTTCTCTGCAGCATGACCTAAACCATAAACCTTACAGTTTAGGGTTTAGGGTTTAAGGTTTAGGGTTTAGGTTAGGGTTTAGGGTTTAGGGTTTAGGGTTTAGGGTTTAGGGTTTAGGGTTTAGGGTTTAGGGTTTAGGGTTTAGGGTTTATAAGGTTTAGGGTTTATAAGGTTTAGGGTTTATAAGGTTTAGGGTTTAGGGTTTAGGGTTTAAACGCCTGCTTCAGCAAGTGCGAGGGTCGAAACCCAAACCCCAAACCCTAAACCCTAAACCCTAAACCCTGGCCCACACACCTGTTTCCACTTACGACCCCCGCAACTGCCAGGTCCCGGGCCGACCTCGGCCGGAAGGGACGGTCGCCTCGACAAGCTGAGTGTAGATGCGAATGAGCAGTCTAAAGGAATCCTGGGGTTTAGGGTTTAGGGTTTAGGGTTTGGGGTTATTAGGGGTTTATAGGGTTTATAGGGTTTAGGGTTTAGGGATTCACATATACACACCCATAAAGGAATCTTAGGAGGGGAATCCATAGTTTTTTGGTGGGGTTTAGGGTTTAGGGTTGGTGGGGGGGCCGCGCCGATCAATGCACAAGTCTTTGAATTCAGAGGCGTCCTCCAACGGAGTTCTCACCAAGTTTTTGCTACTAGGCGGAACCTACGGCGAAAAACTCCATAACCTGTTTACGCTGACACACAGTGCCATCTTTGCGTTTGCTCTTTGCGCAGTTCCGCCTAGCACAGTGTCACCCTTGTTACATAACCCTAAACTCTAAACCCCAAACCCTAAACCCTAAGCCCTGTGCAAGAATGACACGCGCAAATCGAGAAGTGTAAGAGCTGAAACCCTAAACCCTATAAGCCCTAACCCCTAGGAACCCTACAAACCCTGCAGAAACCCCATAAACCCCATAAACTCTGTAAAAAATCATAAACCCTCTAAACCGTAAACCCTAAACCCTATAAACCCCAGAAACCCTAAACCCTATAAACCCACAAACCCTATACATGCCCTATATAAACCCATAAAACCCTATAAACCCTGCAAAACCCATAAACCCCATAAACCCTGTAAAAAACCCTATAAACCCCATAAACCCTACAGCCTAAACCCTACAAAACCTATGTAAACCCTGTAAAAACTCATAAGCCCTATAAACCCTATAAAAACCCTATACACCCTATACACCCCTATATAAACCCTATAAAGCCTGCAACACCCCATAACCCCAAAACTGCGCTTGGTGTTGGCAGCCCGAGGCTTGCCGTTTGACTCCAGCGGCACACCCGTCTGCGTAGGGACATCGCCGCCGGGTCTCAATGTTCTCCCCTTTATTCTGCAACTAAGATGCCATTAGATGTGTATGAGTCATAGATCAAGCAGAAAAATGTCGGAGGTCGAGGTTTTTGGGTATGGTTTGGTATGATTTTGGTGCTCAGGTTCTGCGGCGACCCCTGTGGCAGGAGGGAGGTGCCCTTGTAATCTAAAAAATGGCCGCAAGTGTGGCCCGCACAAACCACGCGGTGGGGCAGAGGCGCTTCATCCCCGCTTGAAAAAAGCCCCCGGGCTGCTGAGGGTTTATAAGGGTTTATAAGGGTTTATAAGGGTTTATAAGGGTTTATAAGGGTTTATAAGGGTTTATAAGGGTTTAGGGTTTAGGGTAGAACCCGACAGAACCTCTAGAGTTTCTCGGCAGGGCCCCCCCCAAACCTGCCCCAGATTTTGCAACATTCACACACACACACACACTCTTAGTAGTAGAGTAGATAACCTTTAACCTTTTTGGGTTAACATATTCCCCTTATAATCCCAAAGGTTAACCTTTAAAACCCCTAGGTACTGGACAACACACACACTTGCAGGTTGCTGTTACATATAAGGGAGGGGGGGGGGGGCCTCAAAACCCTAAAGACTAAACCCCATGGGGACTCTGAAATCTGCCTCGGGGAGTTACAGGAACTGCTCTGAGAGGGTTTAGGGTTTAGGGTTTAGGGTTTAGGGTTGAGACCCCACCCAGAAATGACTGCTAAGCCAGTGTGCGCCGCTGCGTGTTTTCCGGATCTCTTGCAGGATGGGCCCGGAACCGGGCACCCAGCAAACCCCTGTGGGTGCTGCTTGGAGGTTCTTAGGGTAGCTAAAGTAGGGCTAGAAGTATGGCAATTCTACTTTATCACTACTTATAACCCTACTTATAAGCGAGGGATGCAGGTTGCACAGTATAGGGGCTTTTCAGTAGGGCTCACTGCCGACCCCCCACACCGCCTCACGCAACATGCAGCGGATCGCGAAAAGCTGGGCAGGGAGCGGGCCCTGTGCTCTTGTGTTCCACTGTGGCTGATTTGGAAATGCTTTCATTGTTCTCTGGCCCTATAATATAGCCCACATAACCCACATAAATGTAATTGTCACGCGGCCCCAGCGATTCACCGGTGCTATACCTATACCCTAAACCCAAGCTGTGCTGACACCCCGAACCCTCCCGCCCCATAGAGAGTCCCAGACACGGCTGAGAGCATGGCTCGTAGAAGAAGCACGCGCAAGCAGAGCCATTTCTCTTATTGCTGTTCTCTTGCTGCAATTTTTTGGGTTTAGTGGGTAGGGTTCATCCTTCAAAAAGGGTCGCTCTCACAGGCTCTGAGCCCTAAGAGATTTGCCTTTCTTGGCTCGAGCAGTTGAGAGCAGCATGCAGGGCAATGCACCTCGGAAGTTAGGGTTTAGGGCTTCGGGTTTCGGGTCCAAAACGGTTTACGGGTTTATAGGGTTTAGGAATACTTGCGTGCTGCCGAGCGCACAGATCCTTCGGAGAGCCTCAAGGGACCAGCCGAAAGACCTGCTGGCGGCCCAGCATCGTTCGAGCACGCTTTCTCTTCAAACTCTAAACGCGGCTGAAAAGAATCCGTGCTTGCCTCGTGCGAGTGTGCGAGTCAAAGCCCGGCTGAAAAAACGTTTCTACCATGGTAAAATACATTGTGCCCAACAGAGCTTTAAAAACACACAAACAAGCCACGGTTCTTGCAGGTGTTCTGATGTTTCTGATTGATTCAAGGATGTGCCTGCGCGAGCCTGCGAAAGCAAGGGTGCTCGCTTTCGGGCGTTCCCATGTAGTCTTCTTAGAAACCGCTCACACTTGTCGAAGGCGTCCACACTAAATCTTGGTGGTTCGTTTCAGGGCCCCGCCATGTGCGAGCTTTCAACGGGGAATCCCAGCCTTGCAGCAGATCTCAAAGATTTAAGGCGCACAATTTGTTGATGAACCAAATTTCAATAGGAAATACGTATACATCTATTCATTTCTATATGTATACATCTACTCATTTCTATTTAGTTATTTATTCACCTATCCGGGCTCTTCCTGGCTGCCTCGCGCATTTTTTGCGGGCCAGCAAGATCTAGGCCCTGTGTGTGGGCAGCTCTCTGAGTTATCATGGGTGTTGCGGTTCGGTTCGCTTCGGTTTGGGTTTACTAGGGTTTACCTCAATGATATACCGTGCGGTTCGGTTTGGGTTTTCCATGGTTTGCCACGGTGTGTAGCCAGTTAGGCCGCTGCGGAGTGGGGGTGGGGGGGGGGGGGGCTGGGACTGGATGGGACTGGAAGGGGGGAGGGGGGCTGGTGTGGACGGAGAGGGGCTGGATGGGAGGGAGGTGGATGGAGCGGAGGGGGCTCTTCTGGATGGGGCGGCGTTTAGTTGGAGAGGGGCTGGGTGGCCCTGGATGCCGTTCGGTACGTTCGGTTCGGTATCGGTTCGATGCGGTAAGCGGCAAAAGCATTGTTGAAACGCCCATGGTTGTGATCCCTCTGGATACCTTATATCTGTAATTGGAAGCCGAAAATGGGCGTATAATTCAGAGAACCGAAACGTCGCTTTCGTGCGTTTCAGGTCCCTTTTCTTGATTTTGGGATGTGGGCTGCGGCGTTTGCAAAAGATCCGCATAGCGCCGTGGGACACAAAGTGCTGAACATGCACATATGTGTATGGATAAAAAATATAATATGTATATGTTTGTGTATACGTACTTTTTCAGTTTGTCTATACATAATATCGAGCAGATATACCATATCCTATCCACAACATACAAAGTACAACATTTTTCATTGTCATGGGTTAGAAGCCTGGCTGTCAGAAGAGCACCCTAATCCTAAACCCTGAACCCTAAGCCCGAAACCCTAAACCCTGAACCCTAAACCCTGAACCCTAAGCCCGAAACAATCTAGGTTTTCCATTGAGGTCGCCATGCCGCCTCGTCGGCCAGGCACCTTGTGCCTTTTCGACGCCTGCTACCCCTTGTTTGCAGCTATGGCTTCGGGTTACCCTAAATTGAGGGCTAAGGGTTGAGGGTAGAAACCCTAAACCTGTATGAACCGCATAGGGTTTAGGTGCGAACGATGTGTGGAGGCTCGAGGACTCGGATTCGGAGTAGGCCCTTGTTAATTATTCCCCTTCTTTAGGGCCTAGTTTCCCTTTTGAACCCCCTTGAATCCAAAAAGGGCACCCTTTTTTATTCCAAGGTTACTCTTGGGTCTAGAGTACGGGGTAGCCCTAAACCCTAAACCGGTCTAGGTACCTGCAACTTGAAAAACCCGCTCGGGGCTTGGATAAAGCAGGTGGCAAGTACAAGGGCCTCGTGCACCGCAACAAGAGTGATGCCCTCGCCTCAGTGGCCATTAGGGTTGGGGGTTTAGGGTTCAGCAAATAAAAGGGGTTCAGGGTGGAGGGTTCAGTAGGGTGCAAAATGTGGTCTTCGAAGCCCGCCGAAGCCCTTGTCTGGGAAAGCCCCAGCCTATGTGTAGGGGTCATTTATAGCGGAGTAAGACGAAGAATCCCCCTTCTGGGGGTCCCT